GCTCAGTGGTGCCACTGCCTGCCTCACAAGTGCAGGGTCCCAAGTTTGATCCCCAGTACCAAAAAAAAAAAAAAGAAAAGAAAAGGTTTTTTTTGTGCTATTGCTTACTCAAAGATGAGTGGGACCACATGACAGGGAATACAGTGGTATCTTGGTACTTACTATAATTGGTTCCAAGTGCAATAAATACCAAAAATGATGAGTACCAAACAGATTTCTTAGCTGGAAAGTGTAGCTGGTTCCAAGGCAATTCACACTGGCAAGTTCTAGTGTTCAAGTATAGTACCAAACAAACAGTGAGTACTAGGAGAAAACTGTCACATCAAAATTTGTGAAGTATCAAACTTGATGAGTTTCAAAGCTGTCAAGTACCAAGGTATGACTGTACAAGTGGTCTCTGGAAGCTCAGGCTGTCCCCAACTGACAGCAAATAAGAAACTGGAAACTGGGGCCAGGGATTTTAGCTCAGAGGTTCCAGCACCTGCCTCACAAGTGCAAGGCCCTGAGTTTGATCCCCGGTACCAAAAAAAAAAAAAAAAGATAGAAACTGGAGACTGCAGTCCTACAACCCTAACAATTAAATTCTGTCCAAAACTGGAATGGGCTTTCAAGATAACCTCAAGCTCCAAATGAAAACAGAACAGCTGATAGTTGAGCAGTGTGAGAAGCTGATAGATCAGTGATTTCAGCCTGAGTGGAACAACCAGTCATGCTGTGTCAGACTTCTGAGCTCCATAACTGACCTAATGAAAAAGGTGTTTAAAGCTGCTAGTTTGTGGTAATTGTTCAGCGGTAGAAAACCAATACATTCTCCCTTTGAATAGTCTTATCTAGCCACAAAAATACCTGTTATATTTTCTCCTCTGGGTCATAAAACTTATAATATCATATCTTTCATCCCAAAGCCTCATATTTTTGTCTGACTTTGTGGCCACAGTTCTTAAATTATGTAAATGACAACTTTCTTTAGCCTCTCCTGTCTTGGCAAGTAACCTTTTCTGAGCCCACAAACCCAAACTGTGTCTGTGAGCATTCTTTGTTGCAAACCATAGAATGCACTAGGTATACTAGGTACACGAGGCTAGAAATTCACTTTAGCTAGGTAAGGCAGAAAGGGATTAATTAAGGGCCATTAGCCTACAAAATCATTGGTAGAGCCTTGGAGAGCAAACTATAATGAGAACTTTAATGCATAAAAGAGATGTTAAGTAGGAAGTACCTACAGATTAATGTAAAAAAGAAGTTGGGAGATTAGAAAATTACTATTGCACTGCAACATCCAACCCTGTGAGGTCAAAACACCTCTGAAATTATGCATGTAAGAAGAGCCAGTCTCTCCATTTGCCCCCTACCTCTACCTGCTTATTCTTTTTCCAGATTTTTTGAGAACAGGTTCTTTAACTCTGTGGTTCTTGTGGTCAATATCACCTACCTTAACACATGATTATATATTATCTTGAAGTTTTCACATTTTTACATGTTTTCTTGTTTAGCAGTACATTTCTTGAGACAGTATCTTCTACTTAAATTCTTAATAGTTGACCATAACTTCCCAAAGATAACATCAGGTCCTCATTAGGTACTGTAGATGTTGCTGACTCAGACTTTGGACTTACAGCATGTCCTGGTTATCTATTACTGGATAACCACCCCAAAACATAGTAGCTTGAAACAATGACTAATTCTCCTAGTTCTGTGGATTGACTGGGTTTAGCTAGGATACTGCTCATTTTAGACTTCTCAACTATTTGCAGTTAAATAGTGCCTGGGACTAGAATGAGGTGATGGCTTCTGTAGCCACATGTCTGGTTCTCTCAGTGCTGTTCAACATGGCCTATCTCAGAACACTAGCTTTGATTTATTAGGTAATGGCTTGGAACTCAAAGAAAAAGGGAAATTCCCAGTCCTATAGAAGTTTAAGTCCTGTGCCCGGTTCGGCAGCACATATACTAAAATTGGAAGAAGTTTAAGTCCACCTTTGGCACAGCATATTTCTTTACCATATTTTATTGGTCATAGAAATTTGAGGCTAACTTCAAATTAAAGGATGTGGAGAAATAGACTTCAACTCTCGATGAAATGGAATGGACATGTCGGGAAGGAAGGAATTGATAGCAGCCAACTTTGGAATAAACTACTAGAGAGAATAATGGTGTGTGTTCTCTTGCAACCTTATACCCCAGAGTCCCCTGAGGGTAGGGCCAGACATCAGTATGTAACCAGCTAGGTCACTGGCAAAAAATTCTGTATTCTATACTAGTGCATGTGAAGTAGTAAGTTGCTAAGACTGATGAAAGCTAGACTCCATTTCCATAAAATAATTTCTAAAGAGCTGAACCAAGGAACATGCCGCATCATTTGCACATAGCTCTTTCTCAATTAAACCTATACTTGAGTGTCAGAGAATTGATTTTGTGGCCTAACCTCTCAGCCTTAATGTTCTTATCATTAACATTTATTATGGCCTGGGAATGTAGCTCAGTGATAGAATACTTCTCTGGCATGCACAAGGCCCTGGGTTCAAGCCCCAGCACTACATACATACATACATACATATATACATATGTCTTATTATCCAGTTATTCACTATCTTGGCTTTAGTAGAACAGTGTCACATGGGAACAACCTTGAAGGGACAGGTAGCATCTCCCATCCTACCCTAATCAGAGACATAGCAAAGATTCATCCAAACCTAATGGCTTAAAGCTCCAAGTGTTTCTCCACAACAGCACTTTGCTTCCTATATCTTACAAAGGGTATTGAAAAGAAGGAAAACATTTTTTGTGGGTAATAATGTGGTACATTTCATTTTTCCAAAGTACTTTTACTGCTGCTTCATCTACCAAGGGAAATAATAGTATTCTGTCTTACTGAATGCAAAGAGAAGTGAAGATTCATCTCAGATCATAGGTCACACAACTACTCAATATATAAAGAAAGACCAGATCAGGTGGAGTTAAGAATTCTTAGCTGCTTTATTGCTGAACCCCAAAATGTGAGTGTTCTATTAACTTGGAGGAAACTTTATGTGCATAGAAAGGGTGTTGCACAATCAGAATCAATGAACCACATAAAACTAGAAGTCTGCCATATTTCTAGAGATTTTTTTAAATTAATAAATTTTATTTACAGTTGCCTAGGCCTCCTAGTAAATAATATACAGATCAAAATAGAATATAATTAAGTACAAACATAAGCAGTGCAGACCCTTCATTAGATTGAATGGTGTATCAGGAAAATCAGAGATCAGTGGGCACTGGAGTAATGAGAGTAAGAGGTAGAACTTGAAGCTAGCCTTAAGTATGAGTAGGACTTGGATAGATGAAGAAAAACATGGGCACATATGGGTATATGTATCAGGAACAGGGTACAGCATAACTGAATATGAGTACAGATTTGGTTTTTGAGAAGTTGTAGGAATTGACCCAATGAGGAAACTGACACTACTAAAGCACAGGATTTAGGCTATGGGAAAAAATAAAGTCAAGCAAATATAGTAAGTCCTCTATCTTCCAGAGCAAAGGGAGAATTAAGCAATATTAGATAAGAAACAGGCCTAAGTATAGGCAGGAGCCTCCAGTGGTATGCTGAGGATGGATCAAACCAGGAAGAGATTTTGTGGCTGTGATTTCTTCAAGGCTTGTTGCTGTGAACATAGTGTAAAACAGAAGTACTAACTGTGGGAATAATTTACACAGTGTCATAAAGAGAAAAGGTACATAGGCTTTGCATTAGTTTGATAGGGCTGCTGTAAAAGCACACCTTTATGGTTTAGAACCACAGAAATTTATTCTCTCACAGTTTTGGAATCCTAAAATCTGAAGTCAAAGTATCAGCAGAGCCTTGCTCATTCTGAAACTTGCAGGAGTTAGATCCTGCCTTTACCTCTTCCTGGTAGTTCACCAGCAATGTTTGTCATATTTTGTCTTATAGATGCTTCACTTCAATCCTCTATCTTTACAATGCCATATTCCATCTGTATGTTTCTTCACGTGGTGTTCTTTCTAGTATAAATAGGGCACCAATCATATCGGACTAGAAGTCTGCCCTACTCCTGTATGACATCATCTAAACTAATTACATCAGCAATAACCCTATTTTAAAATAAGATCATATTCTGAAGTCCTGGGGCTAGGACTTCAACATAATTTTGTGAGAAAGAATTCAAGCCATAATAATGTTTATAACAGATTTTATGTCTTATACCAAGAACTTCAAAATCTTGAAAATAGCCGGGGATTTAGCTCAGTTCTGCCACCTGCCTCGAAAGCACAAGGTTCTGAGTTTGATCCCCAGTACCAAAAAAAAAAAAAAAAAAAAATCTTGAAAACAGATGAATAGATAAGTAGAGAATGTAGGATGAAGTATTGGAATCTCTTACATCCCAGGTGACTTTTTATTTACCTCAGAGTAGGTGGTAAATCACAGTTCCACAAAGAGAAGGAGACTGGATTATTTAGAGACCTTTTTCTCCTTTGAGGATGTATAGATACAACTTATTTTATTCTCAGAATATTTCTAGACAAAATTCATTTTTTATGTTAGCCTAGCTTCTAAATCTTGTACCTCAGAGAATAGAATATTATGTTCAGAATGAGTTTTCTTTAGAAGAAAAGCAAACAAAGTTTTATGTCTTATAAAATTTAATGAGTTATTCCTTTTCACTGTAAGTGTATATATTTAGCTCACTGAGAAGTTCTGTGTGAAATTACTAAGAATTAGAATCCTCTTCTTTAATCAACAAGGGACTGAGTAGTGATTGAGTATAATACACTGTATGTTTTATTGGTGCTCTTTCTAACAAGAAGATATCATCTTAGGTTATGGGACTGAGCACCTTTGCAACCAGTTCTCTGCTTTCAGGTGATACAGGGGATTTAATGTTCATCAGAAGGATTGGATAATCCTAGTGCTATTACCAGTAATTAATCAACCTGTATTGTAGACTGTGCAAGTGAGCTGATTTCAACTCTACCAGACTTGTCTTTTTATTCCTGTAGAATCTTCTCCAGGTGTGACAGAGGTGACCATCATAGAAAAAGCACCTGCAGAACGTCATATGATTTCTTCATGGGAACAAGTAAGTGTTGTCATGTGACATTCTCATCTTCCTACAAAGGCCCTCAGTGCCCCTGAGAAGGAAAAATTAGGGCAGGAAACCTGTTCCTGTGTCAGGTCACAGCTGCTTTCCATTCCATGCCATTTCCTTTCTTCTAATAAAACAACTTTATTGAACTAAGAACATACATACCACACAATCCACAAACTTAAGTAAAATAAAAGATTCAACAGATTTCCAGCATATTAACAGAGTTGTAAAACTGTAACCATAATCAAATTTAGGTCATTTTTATTATCTCAAATCAAAACACTCTCTCTACTAGCCATTGTCTCCTAATCCCCCGTATCCCCCAAATCTGGGCAGCCACTGAGACACTCTGCATCTGCATAGACTTTCCCACTCTGGGAATTTATTTCTTTTTCTTTTCTTCAAAATAGACCATGGTCATAACAATAACAAAAACCCCAACATCTCCAAAGAAATCTAAATCCTGCAAAGCAAGCTTTCACACTACATAAGAGTGAAACTAGAGACTGATAACAGAAACATATTCATCCCATGCCATTTCCTCAGTATTACCCCTAAGCCCTGGTAATGCTATGGAGGCAATGGATATTTGAAGTTGTACACAATAAAAAAAAAATATCAATCAAGAAAAGGAAAAGATATACCTTGAGTAAGCATCAGGCTGGGCAAAGCTTGGGTGAGTGTGCAAATAACTGCTAACCAGATCCATAGCTAATACATTCCCAGTTTTCCTCTGATCTTTAATTCATTTATTCAGTATAACTTTTAATCTCCTAAAATGGTCCAAGCATTGTGCTTGTTACTTAGCCCTGGGTCATTGGTGATTTTTTAAAAGACTCTTTTCTCACCACTTGATCTTACTGTCTTAAGACAGAGTAGATTGTTACAAGCATAATTACAAATTGGACTAAGTACTATGAAAGAGGTAAAGGGAGAACTGTCCAGAGGCCTGACCTAGTAGGGAGGTTGACAAAAAGTTTTCCCAAAGAAACTGTGAAAAGTTGTTTGTTAACCAAGCAGATGGGATGCAGATGAAAGGGCTTTCAGTCTATGTGAAGTCTTTGAGAAGAGGAAGGATTATATTATTCCAAAAACATAAAGAAGGAGTGCAGGAGAGCAGGGGAGAGGTCAGAAAGGACCAGGACATGCAGGACTCATAGATCAGGAGTTTGTTCTACATCTTGGGAGTAGGGAACTGAGAAGTCAGTTTTCTCTTTGGGAAGATCATGGAACACAAGTGAAGTTGACTGGGAAATGATCAAATCAGGCTAATTAGCATATTCTTCACCTCAAATATGTATCATTTCTTTGTGACAAGGACATCCAAAGTCTTTTATTTTAGCTATTTTAAAATACATATTATTAATTAACTGCGGTCATCATCATGCTTTGCAATACAACACCAGAACTTACTCTTCCTAATGCACTGAACAGTATTGCCCCTTTCCCCAGCCTCTGGTAATCACTCTACTCTACTTCTGTAAGTTCAACTTTTGTAGATTCTACATGTAAGTGAGATCATAGAGTGTTTATCTGTCTGTGTCTGGCTTGTTTTACAGCATTATTAAAATGCCTTTACCATCCACAATTTACAGATTCAGTAATCTGTAAATCTCTGTGAAAATTTCCATGTCAATCTTTATAAAAGTAGTAGAAAACAATCCTAAAACTCATATGGAACCCACATAGCCAAATAAATAAATCTTGACTAAAAAGAACAAAACTGGAGACATTAAATTACAGGATTACAAAGTATGTTACAAAGCTATAATAATCAAAACAACATGGTTCTGGCATAAAAATAGACACATCAACCAATATTGAGCTCTTATAAAGTGGCTGATCTTGTCAGAGCCATTTGATGGTATCTCTATGGCTTTGTCTGGTTGACACTGTTACAGGTAACATTGAGAAAAAGATGTGATTGAATACATTTCTCTTGACCCTTTACAAGGTTAAGCCAGCCCTTGAAGGAAAACTGCCCTCGAGGTTCTTGTCTAGGGTGGAGCACCATTAAGATTATGTTGTATTATGTCATTCACTTGAAGCAATTTCTGAGGTGTACCTTTCTTTGTGTCTTGTACTATATATTGCCCACAATTCTTTAAGAAGACTTTACCCATTTGTCTCTATTTTACCTGTTACACTGTAGTTTATTCATCTGGAACTTGCTTTCCATAGCTTCTTTTGGGACTAGAGTCTGCATACAGAGCATCTCATTGGAATGTAGCCTGCCTTCTGGACACTGCAACTGTCTTGGGTTCCATTCAGCTTAGACTGATACTTAGAAGACTGCAGCTATAGGGCTGGATAAATAGCCATCAGAGGTCTGGAAAATTAAAGAGTAGTTAGGAGAGAAAGAGATTTTTAACTAACTGGACTATAAAAGGAACATTCTCCTCAGACATACTTGGTGTGATTAAAAAATATACAATGAATTTTTTTGTTCTTTAAAATTTATTACAGTAAAAGAAACTCTTTACTGAGCAACAACCCAGCACTTTTCTTTTTTTTTTTTTCTTGAGACAAAACCTTGCTAAGTTGCCCGAGTTGGCCTTAAATTTGCAATCTTCCTACCTCAGCCTCCACAGTACCTGGAATGAGAAGAATGTGCCATGGAGCCCTGCTTAGTTTCATACTTTTGAGTCTTGCATTTAAGTTATTCATCCATTTTGAGTTGATCTTTTTATATGGCGAGAGACAGCGGTATAGACTCTTTAGGATGGATGTAGTCATTTTTCCAAACATCTTTTATTAAGAAGATTGTCCTTCCTCCATCGTATGTTCTTGCCATCTTTGTTAAAAACTAATTGGCTGTAAATATATGGATTTGATTCTGGGCTTTCTGTTCTGTTCCTTTGTTCTTTGTCTGATTTTATGCTAGTCCAGGGTACTGTTTGAGTTACTGTAGCTTTGTTTAATGCTTTGAAGACATGATTGTAGTGTTTCAAGTTTTATTCTTTTTTGCTGAAGATCATTTTGGCTATTGGGCAGTGTGGTCTTATGTGTTTCCGTTCACATTTTAGGATTTTTTTTCTGTTTCTGTGAAGAATATCATTGATGTTTTGATAGGAATTACGTTGAATCTGTAGATTGCTTTGAGTAATATGAATATCTTAACGAAGTTAATTCTTCAACGCATGTGCAGAAACTGTCTTTCCATTTTGTGTTTGTGTCCTATACTTCCTTTTATCAATGTTTTCTAATTTTCATTGTAGAGAACATTTCCTTGGTCAAATTTATTCTTCAGTATTTTTCATAGCTTTGTGAATGGAATTTTTTCTTTATTTCTTTCTCAGCAATTTTATTATTAGAATATAAAAATCTGGTTTTTGTGTGTTGATCTTATCTACTGCAACTTTACTGAATTTGTTTATAAATTCTAACTTTTTTGGTGGAGTCATTAGGTTTTTTTAGTATATAAAACCATGTTATTTGCAGAATTAATTTGACCTTCTCTTTTCCTATTTGGATTCCCTTTATTTCATTCTCCTGTCTTCTTGTTCTGGCTAAGACTTCTAATACTTTATAGAATAAGAGCAGTGAAAGTAGACATTCTTATCTTGTTCTTTTTTTAAAATTAATTTTATTGGCACATTTTAGGTATACAATATAATTACATTCATCATTGGAGATTTGTACCTTTATATAATATATCTGGATTCTTATTTTTCCCCTTCCCCTGCCCCCGCTTCAACCCCTCCATCCCTCCCTATTTACAAAGACTGTTTCCATTTTTTCATTTTCTCATATTCATTCCATTCCCTTCTTTCCTTTCCTCTATCCCTCCCAATTCCCCATCCCCTTGCACCTTTTCTTCTATTTGACATTATCAATTATACATGTTGACTCTTATTTACACTTTCAGTTTTTCACACCAGAGAAGCTATTCAGTATTTACATGTGTGTCCTATTTATTTCACTTAAGATTATCACCTCTTATCTTGTTCTTGATCTTAAAGGAAACAATTTAAAGTTTTTCCTATTTAGTATGAGGAGGTACACTGCTGTTATACCTAATTTTTTGAGGGTTTTTATCATGAAGGGTTTTTATCACAGATTTAATCAAATGCTTTTCCTGCATCTATTGAGATGATCATAAGGCTTTTGTCCTTCATTCTGTTGATGTGATGCATATATTCATTGATTTGCATATGTTCAACCACCCTGCATCCCTTGTATAAGCACCATTTGATCATAATCTTTTTTTTTTTTTTTTGGTACCGGGGATCAAACTTGGGACCTTGCACTTGCAAGGCAGGTGGTGGAACCACTGAGCTAAATCTCCAGCCCTGATCATAATCTTTTTGATGTGCTGTTGGATTCAGTTTATTAGTATTTTTGAGAATTTTAGCATATATGTTCATCAGAAGTATTGACTGGGTGTTTTCATGTTTGTTGTGCCCTTGTCTGGTTTTACTATAAGGGTAATCCTGGCTTTGTAGAATGAGATTGGAGGGGCTCACTCCATTTCAATACTTTGGAATAGTTTGAGACTTTGTGTTAGTTTTTCCTTAAAGTTTTGGTAAAATTCTATAGTGTAGCCATCTGGTCCTGGGCTTTTCTTGGAAGACTTTTTATTACTGATTCTATGCCACTGCTCATTATGGGTCTGTCTGCTCAAGATTTTTACGTGCCCTTGAGTCTGTTTTGTTTAGTTATAAATGCCCAGAAATGTATCCATTTCCTATAAGTTTTCCAATGTGTTGGCATGTAGTTGTTCAAAATCATTCTGAATGATCATTTGTTGTTTCTGTAATAGCAGTTGTCATAGCTCCTTTTTCATTATTGATTTTACTTGGGTCTTCCTCTTTTTCTTGGTTAGTCTAGCTACAGTTTTGTCAATTTTCTTTTCAAAAAACCAACTCTTTGTTTCATTGATCTTTTGTATTGTTGTTTTAGTCTCATGCTTCTGCTCTGATCTTTGTTATCATTTGTCTTCTGATAATTTGGAGTTTAGTGTGTTTTTGCCATTCTAGTTTCTTATGTTGCGTTTTTAGGTTATTTCTTTGCAATCTATTTTTCTATGTAGATACTTATTAGTGTAAACTTCTCTCTTAATACTTTTCTTGTATCCCATAGCTTTGTTATGTTGTTTTTCATTTTCAATTCTTTCCAGAAATTTTTCAATTTTCCTTTTGATTTCTTTATTGACCCATTGTTTGTTTAAGGGAATGCTGTTTAAATTTCATGTATTTCTATAATTTCTAAAGGTCTTCTTCTTGGTTTGTAGTTTTATTTCATTGTGGTCAGAGAATATATACGCTGTGGTTTCATTTTCTTTGACTCTACTGAGGCTCATTTTGTGGCCTAACATATGGTCTACCCTGGGGAATGTCCCACATTCTAGTAAGAAGAATGTGAATTTTGTAGCTGTTGGTTGAAATGATCTACAAATGTTTTTGGGGGGTGTCTATTTGATCTGAAGTATGGTTTAAATCTGATGTTTCTTTGTTGGTTTTATGTCTGTGTATGTGTGTGTGTATGTGTGTGTCTGTGTCTATGTCTGTGTATATGAACTGTCCATTGATGAAGGTGGGTGTTGAAATCCCTAGTTATTGTTGTTTTAGAGTTTGTGCCTCCTTTTAGATTAAGAGTTTTATTTAAATAATTGGGCACTCCAGCAATTGATGCACATACATTTGTAATTGTTATTTTCTCTTGTTTCATTGATCCCTTTTTCATTATATAATGACCTTCTTTATCTATTTTGATAGTTTTTTACTTAGAGTCTATCTAACATAGTATAGCCACTCTCTCTCTCTCTTGCTTTTGGTTTCTATTTGCATGTTGTAGTAGTCAGTTTTCCATTACTGTTAACAAATATGAAAGATAAATCAACTTCAAATGAGGAAAGATTTATCTTGGCTCACAATTTTACCATCATCAGTCCATGTTCTGTTGATCCTTTGCTTTAGGGCCTATGATGAGGTAGTATTACTTGTCTGGTGTGTGTGTCAGAAGAAGAAATGTTGCTCACTTCATGGCAGTTGAGAAGCAAAGAATGGAAGAGAAAGGGCTGGAATCCCAATATCCTTTTCAGGGGTATACTTCCAATGACCTAAATCTTGTGACTAAGGATGCCTCTTTTAAATTTCACTACTTCCCAAAAATGCTCAGCTTTGGACTAAGCCTTTAACATATGGACCTTTGAGGCACACTTAAGATCTAAATCTTATTTCCATCTCCTCATTTTCAGACTGTGTGTCTTTGCTGGTGAAGTGAGTTTCTTGTAGGCAGCTTATCATTGGGTCTTGCTTTGCTTATCCATTCAATCAGTCTGTATCTTTCAGTTGGGGTGTGTAATCCCTTTGCATTTAAGGTTTTTTTTATTTTTGATAGGAAATACTCTATCATTTTGCTAAATTTTTTGGTTTTGTAAATCCTTTTCCTTTTCGTCCTCTTTTTGATATTTATAATTTGGTGGGTTTTTATTCTCTATTTTTTGTATATCTGTTCTATTGACTTTTGTAGTTTTATGTATTTTTACTTCTAGTATAGAACTTTTTAAAACATTTCTTACAGTGCTGATAAACTCTCTCTGCTTTACTTATCTTGGGAAGACTTTATTTGTCTTTTTTAAAAAAAGAGAAATTATTCTTGGTTGTTCTTTGTATATATCATCACTTTCTCTGCTTACCTGTAAGGTTTCTGTGGAGAAGTCTACTGCTAGTCTGATAGAGATTCCTTTTTATGCCACCTCACACTTTTTTCTTGATTCTTTTATAATTCTTTTTTCACTTTGTATTTTTGGCAGTCTGATTATAATACATCTTACAGAGGATTTTTTAGGGGAGTCTATTTTAAAAGTTGCTTTGAGCTTTCTGAATGTGGATGTTAGTATCTTTCCCAAGATTTGGAACATTTTTAGCAATTGTTTCATTAAATAGATTTTCTATGCCTTTTCCTTTCTCTTCTCTTTCTGAAACAAAAATGTTTGCACTCTTAATGATGTCTTGTAAGTTTCAAAGTCTTTCTTCATTCTTTTTAATTTGGTTTGTTTCTTTGATTGGGTCATTTCAAAAACCTATCTTAAAACTCAGAAGTTTTTTCTTCTGCCTATTGTATTGTGTTATTGAGGCTCTTCACCATATTTTTTATTTCATTTACTGAGTTCTTTAGTGGCACACTTTCCATTTGGTTTTTTATCTCTTTGCTCAATTTCTCCTTTATGTCATGAATTGTCTTCCTAACTTGCGTGAATTGTCATAATTCTCTGGTATCGCATAAAGTTTCCTTAAAAATCATTCTTCTTAATTCTTTGTTAGGCAATTCATTGATTTCTTTGCTTTAGAATTTGTTGCTGAGTATTCCTTTGGAGGCATCATGTTACCTTGTATTTTCATGTTTCCTGTGTCTCTATGTTGATTGAGTATATCTGGTAAGTTGGTTGCTTCTATCAGTTTTTAAGGGTGACTCTTACAATAAAAGATTATTTCTGGTGATGTGACCTAGGGTGTTGGTTAGATATGCTACATTGATTTTGGCTCCAAGATATAGTCTCCATGTTGCTTCTTCCATACTAATCAAAGTTGGCCTGCAGCTGTTTCAGTAATCTCTGCTTCAGTTGTGGGATCACACTGACAGCTGCAATGCAGCTCTTTTAGGTGGGGCAGAATCACTGGCAGCTGTTGGCACAGTGCACCCAGCTGCAGATATGAGACATGTATCAGTTTCTCAGGTTATAGGAGGGTGGGGCTACTCCAGTGGGTATAGCATGCCCAATAGTGGGGCAGGGTGCTAATATTTCAGGGCTGCATGAGGACCAGGGCCTACCCTTAGGCTCAGACCAAGAAACTGTCAGTGTTTAAGAGCTATACAGGTAACTTTCTAGGGGCTCTAGGGGCCAACCTGCTCTAGGTAAGCTTCCCAGCTGCTTCTCAGGACCAAAAGTGGGTTGCCAAGGCCTTCTGTTTCACAAGTTCTCACTGGGCCAAGCTTCTGAGATCAGGCTGAGTAGTTGCTTCTTGGGGCTGCAGAAGAATAGGTAGGGCCTCTCAGCAGCTTCCGGAGAAGACCTCAGTGAGCCAGGACACTCAAAAAAGAGAGCTACCCATCTGCTTCTCAGGGCCTCTATAGACTGAACTGCTCAGGGTGAGCTGATCCACTATTTTCTGGATACAGGGCCATCTGACTGACTCAAGTGCAGCTACACAGCTGTTTCACTGGACCCAGTGAGGGAAAGGTCTCAAGATGTTTCTGTGCAGCAGGAGCCTGAGTGAGGGAGGCCACAGCATGGGCTAGGCTCTTTCTGTGGGGCAGTGCAGCAGTGTGGTAACCTGACAGCTCTCCAAAATAGGCTTTGGACCTGTCAAGGCCATAGACTTCTCCAGCAACACATGCCTCAAGTGTCTGAGGCATGAGAATTGGCAGGAGCCTCTTGGTTATTACTTTTTCCCTGTCTAGCAAAGTCCCTCTTAATTCGGGGTTGATCTAGAGAGGCAGAATGGTAGATGTTATATATTTAATTCTCTTCTTTATAAGGCTATGATGTATCCCTGTGCTCTGCATGTCTCTGATATACCCTACTGGACTCCAGTGCTCTGTTTCAAATACTCTAGTGAAATACAAGGGCTGATCAACAAAATGGTGTGTGTTTAAAAATAAATTATTACAACAAATGACAAATTGTCATTAATCGCCCTCAAAATATCCTTCCTCACTTTGAACATTTTCTCATCATTCTGGCCATTTTCTGAAGTAGTTATGGAAGTCCTCTTTTTTTAGTGTTTTTACAAGGTATAATAAAAAATACAGTGAATGCTGCTTCTGAATGCCATCCAACAGAAATGTAGGCTCATAAGAACATGACAGTGCATCCCCTTTATTCAACAGATCTGGCAACATGTGACTCCTGGCTCTTCCTCAAAGTCAAAAATGACAATGAAAGGTAAACATTTTGAATTGATTTAGAACATCACGCCAGCCATGACAGCACAACTAAAGACGCTGAAAAAAGAAGACTTCCAGAACTATTTCAGAAAGTGGGAAGAACAGTGGGAAACTCTTCAGAGCAACAGGGAGAGGAGGTGTGTTTTGAGGGAAATTAATAGCAATATGACTTTTACTATAATAAAAATTAAACATTCACTTTATTTTGTGATCACTTCTCATAGCTATTTTGTTGTTGTCATTTGTTGTGGAAGGAAGTGTGCAAAGTACCTTAGTGAGCTATCTTTCCTACTCATAAATCTTTTCCCCTGGATTCTAAAGCACTGCCCTCTTCAGATTCTTCTTCCTAATTCACTTTGCCTCTTGTAGCTGCAATACTTATTTCTTACACATTTGTCTCTGTGTAAATTAGAAATTAATTTGGCTCAAGGAAGTGTAATATTAAAATAACAATAGCTTAAACAAATAGGAATTAATATTGGTCTTGTAACAAGCCCTGAGGTAGATAATTGGAGTTGATTCATCAGCCCAGATAATGTTAAACCATTATTTCTATAATTATTTTGTCATTTTCTTTTATAATGGCCAGTTGACTACTAGGGTCCCACCTGCCACCTCCAAGCACAAGACAGGAAGAAAAAGTGAGGGATGTTTCCAGCTCTGTCTCCTTTCAACAGGAAGTTGAAAATTTTCTTGAAAATATCATTGAACTTGTGTTTACAACTTAATGTCCAGTTCTAATTGTAGACTGAGGTCTTAAAAGCAGGTATTTAACAAGACCTATTGCCATCTCAAGCAAAATGAAGGTTTTGCCAAGCAGGAAGAGAAAGGTGGATTTGCATAACACCGCCTCCTCTGTACCTTGCCTCACTTCTCTTAGTGTTTCTAGTGTCTAGCACAGCATTTATTCCATTACAGACGTTCAATAAATGTTGGATGGATGAATTAGATAAAACATAAGTCAGATAAAATATAGAATTATCCCAGCATCATCTGGCTGTTTTTCCACAGTCCTACAACTGAGGCCCCCACACCTAGAAGCTCTAAAACAAGGAGGTTTCAAATGCAAAGGCTTCCCACAGGAGTCCCCTCACATGTAAATCTTGTTGGCTAGTTAAGAGCCTTACTGTTCTGAAGGTTGTTTTGGCTGAGTTTTGTCACATACAGTACTTCCTTCACCAAAATATATGGTGCCCCCAGATAGGGGAAATTTTTATAAATTTTTTCATCATGTATTTTTAGAGGGAGACTGATGGTTGTATGGAGAAAGGATTTGGGGCAAACCGTGCTGCCTTTTCTCTGAGTGTTAAACAGTTCAGCTCTGGCCCAGAACTCTCATATGCTACTCAACAAAAGGTTTGGTAAACTAGGCGCCCCATCATTGGAGGGACTTTGAGAATTCTCATGGGGATCTCATACCATCCCTTCACACCCTAGGTTTTCCTTCCACTTCATGGAATGTCCTCTCCAAGAAGAGTTTAAATAGATGTGCTGTCTTATCTCCTCACATTTCCAGTAGTGTTTTAGTGCTCTTCAGTGAGCTTCATGGGCAACCCTTCCTCTGGCTGTTCTTGAGAACAGATACACAAATATCCTGCTCAGAAAGGACAGGCACCTATAGAAACATTAATTTCCATCCTCTGGCTTCTTTATGACTTAATCTTGCATCTGCTACTCATCTCTGTTCCAAGACAAAGTGGCCTCTAAAAATGGAGGGAACAATGGAGTACAAAAATTGTTCAAAAGTAGAGAAGGTGAACAAGAGGCAGTGGACAGCTCTTTGAGGCTCAGCCAGTTCTTATGAAAGTTTTCTAGGAATCATTTTGATAGCTCTCAAACCTAATGAGGGGTAACAAGATTTGTGTTGGACTTTTTATAGAGTAGCTTAAAGAAACTATTGTGGTTAGCCTCTTTTGGAGGAGAAAAAAATACTGAAAATTGGGAGCCATGTGACAGCATCATCTTTGGACAAGATAGAGCAATAGTTGTAAACAAGTCAGCTGTTACTGTAGACACTGATCAGCAGGGTATTCTGTCTTCTTAACCTTCTTCCCAAATTCTCCCTCCAATCTTGATATGCCTCTCTTCTATTCACATTCTGCCAGTCTTCCCTCTCCTTTTCCATCTGCTCCCCTCCAAGAGAAAAAAAGACTAAGACTCTGGTGTGGAGAGAAGCCATTTGAAATGGGTAGATTGTTCGTGGGGAACAGCAGACTTTTTCCAGACTGACAAAAAGAGAAATTAAAATGGAAGTAACTGGCCAGGGCAGGGAAGCTTCTACAAATGGTACCCTGGAAGACCCACTCAGAAAATGTAAACATTCAGCAAAGAAGCAGCAGGGCCAAGGCCCACTACTACTTATATGAGAAGGTTTACCTGACAATTTATATTCGTGTTTGAAATGTATTATATAATTTCACTGACTTTTTTGTATATTAATGAATTTTCAGTTTTTTAAAAGACACTGGTATAAAATACTAAAACTTATTTCTTGGGTAAAATATCATAACAAAAAATATCACTGCTACTGGAATTCTTAGCCTAACTTAAAAACAAACAATGCCAAGTAATCTACCAGCTCTTCTCTGCAGGGATCTCTTTGAATCCCCATTAAGAATAAGTGGGTGTGGTGGCACATACTTGTAATCTCAATGAGCATTGCAAGTTTAACTCCAGCCAGAGCAACTTAGTAAGGCCTTTCTCAAAATAAAAAGGGCTGGGGATGTAGCTTAGTGCAATGTTTAATCCTCAGCACCAAAAAAGAAAAAAGAAAAAAAAAAACACGAACAAAACACAGACTGGTAGACAGTATTTTCCTTGTCTACACCACAAGATGGCACTAGTGATCAAAATCTTTGAGTGGATACTGGCTTTAGGGGGCTACAGGAGGAAAAGAAGCTTATCAGAACACTATTAACTATAAATCTCTTGTGCATGGGCTTCTGGGGTTAGAGAGAGGCATTCTTCATGCAGTTTTCCTCTCTGGAATCACAGAGAATACAAGAAGACACCCTAGGGCACCCAGGAAAGGAATTGGAGAACCCATCTTTCTGTACACTCAGTGATTTGAATTGACTAGAGAAGACTGGTCAGGCCTGTGCACAGATGGGAGTTATTTAGTATCTAAGGTTTGTTCCTGTGCTTCCTAAAAAGATACTGAACTGTTCCTTTGTTTTCCACACCACCAGTTTGGAGGACTTCTTATCCATGTGATATATTTGTGTATATTCTAAACTTTCTAAGAAATGTCAGAAATATTAGAATAGGTTCATTGCATTGAATGCTTTAGAAATATATATTCTTCACTTTTAAAATGCTCTCATTTGTCCAGTAATTTATTTCAGTAAACAATATGTGCACATGGACCTGGAATTTATGACAATGATTGTTATGCTCTAACATTGCCAGACCTCATCTCTCATCACATTCTCCTATTTCCTCCGTAGCTTGTCCTCTTTGAGCCCTTTTTTCAGCTAGCCATCAGGACATATCACAGCAGAGCAGATGCCTAGTCTGCTTTATCTGATGAGGCAAAAAAAAGAAAAAGTCAATCTGGTGAATCTGCTTATAGACCTCTCAGTACGTGTCTAAGTTTTGTAGGTAATTATGAGTTATCCTATTTCAAATGCTTTGAGGTTCATCCCTATTCCCTTTTTCTCAGCCCTCATCTAACACTCAGCTGCTTTGTAATTCTAGAAAAATAACTGTATGATGCCTGAGGATATGAAGAACTTTTACCTGATGACCAATGGCTTCCACATGACCTGGAGTGTGAAGCTAGATGGTGAGCTAGTTCCCTTGCTGTTGGGGACCATTGCACTGATGGAGAGTTTGGATGGAATGACTCTGAGGGCCTTACGACTTCACTCTTTGAATCTGGACAGTTTTTATGGGTGCTTATCAAATGCCATATCCAAAAGTTTTAATTTTATCTCAAAGCTAACTGATATTAACAGTACTTCACCTACCACCACACTGTTCCAGTGTCTAGCTGGGTTTGACCTGGAAGCTCAGTTTAGAGGCTTCTTTTTGCAATATGGTGGAGGAAAACATTAAACACTGCACAAAGACCCAACCAACTCAAACATAAAGCTGCTGAGTATTCCTCCTCAGAAGAGTCATGTCAGGGTCAGCTATAACACTAGCCTCCAGTATTCCTGGAAGCAACTGCCCACATCGTCCAAGCTCCTTCCCTCTTCTCATCATTGTGAAGACTTCAAGGCTCTAACCCTCAAACCACAGCCTTTCCTTCTCTCCTTTATGATCTCAGCATAAGTCACCAACCAGCTCAGTTTTTAGGCTGTCATCTTAGCCTTCAGTGTTCCTAAGCCAAGACAGTTGCATTGAGCATGTGAGAACTCACAACCCTGTACATATCAGAGATTGTAGATACTATGTCGACATGAAAGACAGCACTGCACATTTAGGTGAAGACTTTGGTAAAAGCTCATAAGCTAGGAAATCTTGATCTAGCCATGGGAGTCCAACACATTCTTGGCAGAGACTCACCAGCCCCACATTTGTTGGCCTGTATTGCTTCCATCTCCAACTACATCCCAAAGACAAAGCACCTACACCTCCCCCACTGTTGTCCCTAAGGTGGAGTTAACTTCTGTTGCATAGCAGATCGACAGAGCTTACTAATCTCCTTTATTGCCTCTGCCCTCTTCCTATACCACCTCAGTTTTTTTTTTTTATGATTCCCAGTGCCTTATCTCTCACAGCCGACCAGAAGTACTTTTTATAATTTACTAGTAAACATTTAACATTAGCTCCTAGCTTAGACTCCTTTCTGCCAGTGGTCTAGAAACCATTTGTCACCAGCATCAAGACCCTCCTTCAGACCATAAACATGACCTTTGGAATCTGGAGTGACAGACAGAGGATGGAGACAGGACTGATAGATTCTCCATTGCCCACATCATGGGGATAGGTCAGCCCCAAATGTGCCTCAGAGAAGAGATATTTCATGAATATTTTATAAATGAGCTTTTTCCATGATTGCAGTATCTTTGGTAATTTAATTATCCCAGTCCTGATTATTTTTATTCCCATTACCATACTCTTTCTTAGTTTAAGTCAGTGGCAGAAGAGGCAGCTTCTGATGTTTAGTGGTATTTTTTTCTCAGACAGTCTATATTCTATATAACACCTATTTCATTGTCTTTAACCATTCCCATTTTTTCAGAAGTCATATTTCTAAATCTTTGTGTGCCTCCTTGTGTCCAGCATCCTATATAACAGGAACCCTATTTAACAGATGAGGAAAACATGCAGTCTTCCTGTTCTTTATTTACACCCTAATCACAGAAGACGAACCAAGAAAGAAGGCTGCCAGGTTCTTTCCACTGAGTAAGAGTAAATGACAAATAGAAGGAGAGAGATTTTCTGTCTTGAAAGCTTGTAAGAAGAGAAAGAGGCTATCATCTAATCAAATCAAGGCTGTTATTCCTTTAGCAAATGTAATTCTTTTTATATAACTTTGGAAAAGAGAGAGTGAAACTGTTATTACACAATGTACTTTTCAAATAAGGGTCCTATATCCAGGCTTTTCAGCTTATTTTGAGTACCTCTTCTAAGTTTTTCTTCAACTGTGCCCAAATAATACAGTAGGTGATATTCATCACCTATGGCCCCCAGGTCTTTTTATTTATTTATTTTTTCTGGCATGAAAAGCTGGTGTTTTGGGACATGTAGTGAGTGATCCTTGTCTTTCCACCTACCATCAGATTCTTCAGCCATGCGACCAAACAGTAGCTATGCTTGGGTTATTGAGGGAGAAATCTTTCAATGAACATTATAACTAGGCTGTTATTTTATGTCATTCTTCTTTTTGATGTTCCCACAGAGCACATCATTCCTCTGGGCAACATGGCAATTAACAGCATCTCAAAGCTAACTGAGCTCAACCAGTCTTCTATGTATTCACTTCCTAATGCACCAACTCTGGCAGACCTGGAGGATGATACATATGAAGGTACCTGGAAGAATTTCTGCTTTGGGTTAGAAATCGGCATGCTTGTTATCTTTTTATCATATTTAGAACCAGGGGAAGAGGATGTAGCATTATAGTATGTTCCACCAAACTAAAACCCTTCCCATTCATAGCTTCCTAAGACCCTGGGATTAAGGTAAGAATAATAAAATTTAAAACAGCCTGTGTCAACAAAGGAAATTTTCATGAAGAAAATGCTGGGATTGGGATCCTTTGTTTCCTGCACCCAGTTCAGTGCCCTTAAAGAGACACTTAAAGAGAACTTGATGAGTGAATGAATATTATCAGCTTCACTCAAGATTTCAATCTCAAGAGGATTCGGGCCATATGGCACTGTAAATATAGTTCCTCTCATCTCCATTGCCATCTCCAAGTTCTTTGTTGCTTCTAAGTAAAATGGCTCATAGGTCAAATAGCTGCTAAACCCTATGAACAACAGGGTATAAGTGAGGACTTCTTCAGTCAGAATTGCTTATAACCGAGACCTTATGTCCTAGTCATTTTCTCGTTCCTAGAATAAAACACCCAACACTTGAAACTTAAGGAAGGAGAGATTTTGGCTCACATTTCAGTCCATACTAGGTTGACTCCAAGGCAGGATGGCATGGCAGAGGGGCATGGTGGAGGAGAGCTGCTTATAGCATGGCAGATAGGAAGCAGAGAGTGAAGAAAGGAGCCAGGAAAAGAGAAAAACCCTTCCAGGCCATGGCCCTAGTGACCCACCTTTCTGACTAGACCCCATCTCCTAATAGTAAGTCAGCTATAAACCTCTATAATCCAATTACTTTCCAAAAGCTTTGCTTGTGAGGCTTTTCAGGAACATCTAGCTATAAACCATAACCCCTATTACAGTGTCTAAATAGCAGTATATTTTTTCTTGTAGCAAGAAATCTGGTATAGCTGGTATAGTTGCCTGAGAAAGTCAGAATCCCTCTGGGTTCTTGTGGCAACAACCTCCAGGCCAGGATTCACTCTCAGCAACATAAGGCTGCCCTTAGATACCAGCCACATGACCCTTTCACATTAAGGCATAAAAATTTCTTCCTAGTGTTGCTATGAACCCTTTTTAAAAATGTAATCTAATTAAAGGAATGACTACCCATCATATTCATAGGTTCTCAGCTGCCCTCAGGGGAAAGCAGTGTGTACATCAGGGGGCAGTAATCTTGGGGGGCCATCTTAGAATTATGTGTACCCAACTTGGTTAAGGAAATAGTGGTATATTGTTTACAAATAAGGATGGAGTCAGATGGATCTAATCACATAAGCAACAAACAACAAACGATTATAACCAGTTGCTGACCTAAAATAACAAATTTGAATAAAATAAAATTTGTTTGGGGATAAATAACAGGGGACTCCTGTCTAGGATCCACAGACTGGTGACAAATCATAAGTATATCCAGAAGTATTATGATAAAAGGAAACTTTTAAAGGCAAAAAGGAGATGTCCACACAAGCTGGTCTGAAACAGGTTCACTGGTCTCAGAAGGTCATTGCAGAAATTGATGTTAGCCCACTGGTAGAGACAGACCTAAATTGCTAGGCAAGCATTTTTATATGAGCTTCTACAGTCTTGAAGAATTTATCACAGTAAACCTTGATACAGAAAATATATGCAAAATGAACAAGGGATATAAGGCAAAGAAGGCATGAGATACATGTAGGATGTGAAGGAATTTCTTGTGGGTTTTAGGATGTTCTTGTGATAGTTCTTATAGATTCCCGGACACTACTGATGACGGAAAAGCCCAGAATGAAGGCCTAATCCATCAGTGAGATCTAGGGCATTTTATCATATAATTCTTTTGAAAATAATACTTAAGAATATGTCAGAGAGAAGGCTTTTTCCTGTTTTTTAATGTACAGATCTGTGTTTGTAAGTTGAGTTTGTTTGAACCTTACTATTAACTTCTGGGTTTGCAGCCAGGGAAGACCAGCCAGAGAAGCCTCATTTTGACTCTCGAAGTGTGATATTTGAGCTGGATTCATGCAACGGGAATGGGAAGGTTTGCCTAGTCTACAAAACTGGGAAACCAGGTAAGTATCCTTCACAACACATAGTTATATAGTTTGGGTTTGGTCTTCCTGACTTTCCTTTTCAGCCATCCAGCAAAAAACACATACCTCTCTGGCCTCCTGAGATGCTCCCAGGACTCAGGTATGTGTGAAGACCTAGAAAGCACCTTTGATCATTTCCAGGCATTCCCCTTGAGGCCAACTTCTGGGCATCTTCATATGTTAGTTACTACAAAATAGTCAATGGTATTAGATAATAGATGAGAAAAATCTGAAAGACAAGGTCATTCTGTTCATAGACTCCGGCAGGCTCATGCATGAGATAAGTATCCAGGAAGCACATTTTCTTTCTTTTAAGCTTCTATATCTAGGCCAGTTAACATTAATAAATTCTGAGTCCCTAGACCCCACATGGGAAAGAGGAAAGAGGGCCAGGTAGTGGCTACTGAGGTTCTGTGCCCTTGAGCAGTAACCACCACCTGGGCCCCCAACACAAATCTGGGCCAAGGGACTGAAAATACAGAGCCTGCCAAGCTCTCTTCAGGTACCTCTCTCTGGTCGGGGAGATACAGACACCAAAATATACCTCTGGGGGATGAAAGATCATCTTTAGGTGGAGGAATTATAGCATAAGAGCCTGTGAGCTGCATCTTGAACTGCGATTGGAATTAAATTTGGGAGAGGGGCTAAAGGGGACATCTAACCAAAAGGACAAGTGGATAAAAGCCATGTCATGGGAAAGTACAACTGACTTGGAGGAGTAACAGTTCAATCCAGTGGCCTCTGTGGTTCATCTAGGGGATGAGGAGGGAAAGAAAGCCAAAGAAAAACTCCTCCCTCTCATGCAGAGGAATGAGTTAGATGCAATGTGGAGGACATAATGTGGAGAGTCAGTCAAGATTGTTTGGCAGAATGGCAGGATTCAAATAAAAATTTTTGTGACTGTATGTTTTGGGAAAGGAAGAGACTGGATGATGGAGGCCACTTAGGCAGATGTTACAGCTCTCTAAATGCAGATTAGCGAGGATAGGCTTGAGGTAGTAAGAATGGAAGGCCAGAGATGCAAGGCAAGAAGAGCTGTTACAGTAGTTCCTGTTTTTGTTCAACCAGGTCATCACACAACTGGGCAGGCTGGATTCGCAGGAATGAGTTGGTCTGGGTTTCTTTATAGTAGGTTTAGCCTGAGCCTCTTAGGAGAGCCTCTTCAAGAGAGCCTGAACCAGAGTTTCTCTCCATCAGAAAAGCTGAAACCACAGTATGTACTAGGGAAGAGGGGCACTAAGTCCCCTCAGAAAAGGAGCATCTGCTTAGACAGCCTGAATGTACTTCCAGATAGCCAGAGCCCAGCACATAGATCTAGTGACTAACAATCAAGAATGTATGAGTATCAAAGAAACTGGCAAAAGTGTCCACTGGAGATTGGAAGGGGGAAAAAAGAAAACGTGTATTTTACCTCCTCTCTACTATTCACTTTTCTTTCATCCATCAGTATATGTTGACTTTATAGTTTGAAGGGAAAAAATGTTAAACTATCTCTTATTATTAATTTCCTTTGTTATTGTAGCATTAGCACAAGACACTGAGATCTGGTTTCTGGACAGAGCATTATATTGGCATTTTCTCACAGATACTTTTACTGCCTATTATCGACTACTCATCACCCATCTGGGCCTGCCCCAGTGGCAGTATGCCTTCACCAGCTATGGCATTAGCCCACAGGCCAAGGTAAGGGGAAAACACCTGTCATCTCAGAATGTGTTGTATATAAAAATTCTGCCAGGGCCGGAGATTTAGCTCAGTGGTTCTGCCACCTGCCTCGCAAGCGCAAGGACCTGAGTTCGATCCCGGGTACCTAAATAAATAAATAAATAAATAAAAGTGTATCATGAATATAATAAAAGCTGTTTCTTTAAAAAAAAATTCTGCCAGGCATGATACCCAGTTATGATCCCAATACTTGGGAGGCTGAGGCAGGAGGATTGCTGTGAGTTTGAGGCCAACATGGGCTATCTAGTGAGTTCTAGGCCAGCCTGAACTACATAGTGAGACCTTATCTCAGAAAAGAAAAATCCTCTGAGAAAATGGTTACTTTGCAAATTCCCAGCTTCCCCATCTGATTTATGAGATCTAGGGTGAAGTCCAGTGACCCATGTTTTTAAAAACATCAAGGCAAGTGATTCCATTGCATGGACAACCTCACTTTATATTTATCTAGTTAAATGATTCCCAAACTTAGTTGACCCCCAAAATCAATCACTTTGGAAGTTTTTATTTCCAACTAAATGATTTGGGAGGCTTAGGTATAAATAAATTGTTTTTGGATTGGTATTACATGCACTGAGGAAGAGTAAAACATACACTTCTTATTCACGTTCTCCCAGAGGTGGCCACGGTTACCAGTTTGTGTACTTTCCTGAGATACTCATTGCATGTGAAGCATACATTTTTTGGTTCCTTTTTGTTTTTGCTAAGTCACAAGTGTAATGTGCTATTCATGTTTGTCTGCACCATGTTCTTTTCACTCGGTACTCTAGCATGGGTTCCTTCCCTATTAGTACATGTAGAGCTGCTTTCCTGTCTAGTAACTACAGAGTATTCCATTGTATGGATATCCCTCATTGATATTACAAGTCTGGACATCATTTCAAACATAGAGATACCAGGTAAAACTGATAGCCTGGTTTGAGAACACAAAGTGTGACTGGAAGAACTTGTGACTAGAATGAGCTGGTGTGGGCTCCTTCATGGTGGTTTCTTAAAACATCAAATTAGCAGGAAATTAGGGACTCAGCTCAAGTGCCATCTTACTAGATGTTCACTGAGTAGGCCTCATTCTCCTCAAAGGTCACATAATGATAACTTCCATCTGGTCAAATTGTCAGGTGGTTGTGATCAAAGAAAGGTCAATAAATTGGGATGCCGTTTGCCCTCAGCTACCTGGAAAACCAGTAAGGCAGAGAACACCAGCACATACATCTTCCCCCGGGAAAGCCCACAATGGCCTTTTTCATACCTCTCCTGGGGTGGAGGGTGGGGAGGGGGCTTCTGCCAGAATCCACCTGATGAGGAATAGCTACTTTGAGGACTAGTCAGAAGGATACTGCTCCCTGGTGGCTCAGAAGGAAAGAAGTGTACTCAGATTCTTAGTTCTCATACTATACTGCATTTAAATTGACTAGGCCTCACAAAACGACGTGTGTGTCTGACCAAAAATAGATGGGGTCTGTCATCACTTTCTCTTAGTGAATAGCTAAGAGTTTTCAAGGCAGTTTTTTATTCAAACAAATTGAGTATCTCTTATCTGAAATGCTTGGGATCAGAAGTGTTTCCGATTTCAGAGATTTTCAAATTTTGAAATATGTGCATAGACATTCTTGGTTGACACTTGAAAAGTTTTGGATTAGGGATGTTCAACCTATATTCTCTTTTCTCTGTTGTCTCTAGCTCTCTCCATCCACAGGCTTACTAAGAATGGCAGTTTCCCTTTGCATTTTGACCCTCTTTCCCAATTCTGCCTTACAGCAATGGTTCAGCTTGTATAAGCCCATCACCTACAACACAGACCTGCTCACAGGAGAGACCGACTCCTTCATGAACAAGCTGGATCCAAGCAAAGTGTTTAAGACCAAGAACAAGACTGTTATCCCAAAGAAGAAAGGGCCTGTTCAGCCTCCAGGTGGCCAGAAAGGGCCCTCGGGTCCCTCTGCGTCTAAGCCCTCATCTAGCTCTGCAAACCCTGTCCGCAAATGAGTGCCACCTCCACCTCTCCACCAGCCCCACAGCAGTGATTTCCATGCACAGATGGCCCCAGGGACACAACCTGATTCTGTGTAATTATAAGCATCTTCCTGAGTGACCAAAGTCCTAGGCCTTTTACTCCTACTGACATTAGCTGGGAGTTGGAAGGGCATACATACTAAATTTTACTCAGGAGTCCTTCCCTTACACTCTGCCTAATGGATTGTTCCAGCCTGTGCCTCCAAAAGCTGTGGATAATTTCAGATCTTAAGTAGCCAGAGAAATCTATTAAGAGCTTTTCTCTTTTTCCACACTTGACTTTCAACCCCTTAGCAGTAATTGGAGGAGTCCCCTGAAAGAAACCACTGGTTTTTGACTCAAGAAACATTGGAACTGCACAGTTGAGTAGGTAGCCATTAGTCACATGTGGCTATTTACATTAAAAATTTATGTCCTCAGTTGCCTTCAACGCATTTCAAGAATTCACGTGGCTGGTTCCGGGGACATAGCTCAGTGGTGCTGCGCCTGCTTGGCAAGTGCAAGGTCCTGAGTTTGATCCCTGGTACTGGAAAAAAGAATTCACACAGCTAGCAGATTTCATATTGGACAGTACAGAGCTATGGGATGTTTCCATCATCACAGAAAGTTACTTTGGACATCACTACATTAGAATATTTTCATACTGATCTTCCTCAAATCAGTTAATTTTTGTTGCTAGTTAATGTCAGTGCCTTAACTTCATGAGTTGTAATGTTTCACGAAAACTTTGAGTATATAATTGTGTATTCTTTATATACTTTATCAGGAACATATCTCACTCTTCTCATTTTTTAGTGTCCTATCAACTCTTTCTCATCAGTTTCCTGTAAAGTTATTTGCTTCCAATTTTATGTTGTGATGTTCACACATTTGCCAAAATTTAATTTTAAGAAGAGATATACTTGCGCTACACTTTATTCTAACCATTTAAAAACAAAAACAGAAAACAAACTCCCAATACTGTTTTGCAGGATCTCATAGAGTTTCGATGAAGCTAGTCACTGAACAGAAGCATTGCACCTTCTTTGCCTGTTCACAGCTCTGAGATGTCTAGCCCCACTTTGTCTCATCCCGGGCCATCCTTAAGACAGGCAGTCCCTTGCTTAGATCCAAGGGGAGTTCCAAGAGTTCCTTTGAAAGTTTTCTATAATTCAGAAATCGTTTTCTCATAGACGTATAGGGGGACTAGGCATCTTTTTTTTCTTTTCTTTCTTTTTTTCTGTGGTACTGGCGATTAGACTCTGGGCTTCCACACTGAACTACATCTCTACTCCTTTTTATTTGGAGACAGGGTCTCACTAAGTGTCCCAGGTGGAACTAGAATTTGTGATCTTCCTGCTTTAACCTCTCAAGTGCTGGGATTAAAGGCATATGCTACCACACTTACCTTATGCCTAATATTTGGTGCAAGATAAATTAGAATTTACCTACAACATCTTATGGAATTTCTAAACAGAAAGTAGCTCAAGGTTTCAATTAGGAATGTCTATTTCCTTACTCTGTGGCCCAGCACTGGGCAGAAACAAAGTCTTCATTGTACTTCCCAGAAGGGATAGTAGAGAAGTCACCTACACAGCACTTGAGTGGCTTCAGTGTTTGTACTGAGATTCCTGAGGTTGGGGAAAGAGAGCTCTGAGGAGAGAGGCCCAGAGGCCTGTGTCAGCTACACAGTTCAGTTCTAACTCCCTTTCCTTCTTGTTCCTGACTTCTCTGTTCTACACTGATTGCCCAGGCTTCCTTTTACAGTCATCCAGGGCTTTCTTTTTCCATAATCCACCGGGGAACTAAAAGAAGTCTCTAGGATTCTCTACCTGCACTTGGCTCTGACACCTCTTGAGTATTTATCAAGTGTTTAAATTTTTGGATTGTTGATTATAGTGATAGTCATGAAAAAATAAGTCAGACTTGAGTCTTTCCTCCATCTGCCAGTCTTCACAGCCCCTGAGGAAAACCAAGGGGAGGAATTGGCCTTCAAAGGTTGTGTCAAATTCTACTAGGTTGCTTCCTCATTTTTGTAATAAAGTTTTGAAATATTAGTGCTCAAAAGTCTGTGGGAGCATAAACAGAGCTTCGTGTTAATAGCATAATTATTTGCTTTAAAATATTCCAGTATATCAATCATACTGGTTCACTTATACTGGGAATGTTAAAAATGGTATCATAAGCTCAAGGATAAAATTAAGAGTTCTAGTACAGTGACAAGAGAGCAGTAAATCAATAAGAAGCCCTTCTGTGTATGAGCTATTCATGTTGCCTGTGCTGTTACCCTTAGGATCCTGTGATGAATTTCTTTCTTTGGCTTAAGCCAATGGATTGTTTTTTCAGTTAAGCATTTTCTTGTAAAATATACAACCTCCATTATGGAGTTAATTGTGGCTACTAAATGAGTTAATATGCCCATGAGAACTCAGAAAAGGTAGTCTTAACATTTCCCATTCTTCCTTTATAATGTGACCCCAAACTTTCCAGTTATTAACTTTCTACCTGACCCATCCAGCTCTATTCTTCTCAGCCATTCCCTTCCTTTCCAAAACACCAGCTTGGGTCTCCTGTTCCTTTGTACCTGTAGTTTCCTCCTGGGGTTCAGCTTCAGTTTACCTCCACCTCAGAGCTCTGTGAAGCCCCGGTCTACAAGGAGAGCCCTCTTTGAGGTAGAGTACTTCATGATAGTACCACTTAAGTTAACTTTTGATTGTCTTACCTTGTTTCCTGTGTGACTTCAATCATTGATGAGGTGGAGACTTTGCGTTACTCTGGAAGGTTATCCTCCTTGGTGTGGAGTCTCATGAACCATTACAAAAGGTTCAGTATACATAATTTTATACAAAATTAAGAGCTGCATCATACTTCAGGACAAATAGACAACAAAGAAAAATTAATGGAAAAAAAGTTGTGAAGATGCTGGGTTTTTTTGGGATTTTTTTCCAGTATAGGGGATCAAACTCAGGACCTTGTGCTTGCGAGGCAGGCATGGCACCACTGAGCTAAATCCCCACCCCGAAGATGCTGTTTAAATGTTTATGCATTAGGAAGATAGGCCACTGCTTTATTTTGGAGGCAAGAATACCTTAGTTTAGCTCATAGACCATCTCTGTCAGATGCCATAATTAAATACATTACCAGTGTTAAGATGTTTTGACATCCGAATATCTCCAAGACTGCTTCTTGCCATTCTCATGGCCTCAAAAATCTTTATCAGACAAGTGCACCTTCATTTGTGGTTTTAGAAATGGAGTCTTTATAATTACAAATTCTTATGCTTCCTACAGCATGGAGCACCCATGTCTTGTCTGAACCTACCCTTGATATGTGTAGGAAGCAAAATGTTCGAGGTATTTTACTGGATGTTTTCAATATTCAGTCAGTTGGCCTCACCTGGATAAAATCTATTGTGAGCAGGCCTTCCAAATATAAGGGTGAAAGTAGTGTGGACCAGCCAGAGGGTGGCATGGTAGAAACAAACCAACAAGACAAAGAAACCAAGTTCACCCCTGGTTTATTCTCACCACTACTGAGACCAGCCAGGATATGTCATTTCCATCTTCCATCAAAACCTCTCTCATTCAATTTCTTTAAATGGAAAATGAAAATATAGAATGACCATAAGGATTCTATTAAATAATACACATCAAGTGCTCACAAAGATACACTTTCAATAAGTATTTTAACTATTCTTAAAAATCATTTGGTCCACTTTCCCTTTGTGAATTGCCTAGCCAACAACTGATTTTTCCACCAAATAGCTTTTTCAACAAAACTGATGTCTTTTAACATAAACCTTCATTGCAACTGCAGAACGTTCGTCCCTTAGGCAATTTGGTGTTTCTGTTTTTACTTACCTCTCTGATAAAAACAATTTCTGATGCAGAATGGATGCAGAATGATGATAAATGATAAAAAGATGCAGAATGGATGACAAATTTTTAATTTTTAAATTTAGATGATTACCACCTCCTCTGGCTCCCAGTAACCTCCCTAAGGGATCATGGCTGTCCTTTTCCTGGTTGATTTCCCAGTCTGGGCACAATTTCCTCCATTACTGGCCCTCAGTGTGTATCTGTTGTGGCTGTATAGGTTCTTGGGACTATATTATGGTTTGGATAAAAAATGTCCCCCAAAGGCCTTAGGCACTCATAGGCAGGGCTTTTGGAAGATGTGTAAATCATGGGGGCAATATAGCTGACTTGCTGTTAGGAGGTGGGGTCTGGTGGGAAGAGGCTGGTCAATGGGGTTGTGGCCTGGAAGTGTATATCTCCCTGGCTCCACCCTCCTCTCTCTGCTTCCTGGCCACCATGATGTGAGCAGCCTTCCTCTGTTGCCATGTCTGCCTTGGAGCCAACCAACCATTGACTGTAACTATGAGCCAAAATAAACCTCTCTTCCTTTTAAGTTGTGGGTGTTTGGTATTTGTTCCAGCAATGAGAAAAGTGACTAAGAGACTGCCATAACAAATTACACAAACAGTGGCTTAAAATAACATAAAATTACTCTTCTTTCACTTTACCTTCCCTTCTTTTATGTTTATGAAATCTCATTCTGCTCTTCCCTTTTCAGGGTACTTATTATTGGGTTTAGGTTATACCCAGACAATCCACGATAATTTTCCCACAATAAGATCCTCAAATTAATCACATCTACAAAGGCTCCTCCTTATAAGGTAACAATTACAGACTCTCAAGATCAGCACCTGGTATTTTGGGGTGGCCGATATTCAGCATATTACAATGGTACTTGGCAGTATAGCATTTCAGGGCCATGAGCCCAAACAGTGGGTTCAGGAACCACAGATGATACACAGCCACCAAAAATCAGGAGCCTAGGAACCACGTCTCCTACTTCTGGCCCCTGCTCTTCCTCCCTGCACTGTGTTCAACAGTGAACTTGGAAGAAAACAAACTGGTCTTCAGCACTATAAGGCCCTATCCAATCTCTCCCTCCAGCACCATATCCCTTAGAGTAAGTTATTTTTTAAACAGAAAAAAACCTTAAGATTTCAAAGAAACCAAAACCTAGCATCTTTACATAAAAAGCAAAAAAAATGAGTGCAGAATAATAGCTAGGGTACCAGGGATGCTCTGTACCACTCTGCTCTTACAAAGAAAATCTTGGGATTACAGCAGGCTCACCTGAAGATGGTACAATCCTGGAGAGATGTGTGAAAAGCTCCTCTAATTTATATGTGGCACCACAGCAAGCCTTGTGGGTAAGGGATGATGTCTATTAGGTAACAATAACTAGTATATCCTGCAACAAGAGCTGATGCCTACCTACATAAATCAGGAGTTTCCAAGAGCACATTGCTGGCACTACTTTCACCCTAACAGAAAAATACTACCCCAAGGGCCTGTAGTCATTCTAAGGAAGGGTGCTTCTGATGCCCCTAGAAGAGACCTTGCTGATTGAAAAGAAGGTGAGTTTGCACAGCTGTTTAAGTTCCTGAAACACTCTTAAATCAGTCAATCCCTGAATCTCAGGGCAGGTCTTTAATCAAACTGTGGAGGAAACACAACGCCCATAGTGTTTTCCTATTTCTCCTGTCTAACGTTCCTGAAAGAATAAAAGTTTCTCATTATGGCTTTAAACTATTTATTTAGTACTTGAAACAGGGTGTACATTTATGAATTTGTATAAATATTTAGTACATCTAAAATCCACAACTGGTAAACAATCTGTGCTTTCTTTTGAGTACAAGATTGGAGTTTACATCTGGATATTTTGGTGTTGTAGAGACCCAGTCTGTGAATCTAATCAAATTGCCTCATATTACCATAATAACTGTGACAGAAGTGATTTGTTCCTTAAAAGGGCCATTCCTTGCCCAGAAGAAGTATCACACTTTGGAACTAACAAACCAGGTGTTAAGGAAAGAAGAGAAACACAGCTGACACGATGAAAAACGTTCGTGCAGGAGATCTCTGGAGATCCATGTCAATGTATAGCAGGCAACAAAAGCCACAAGGTAACAGATGAGCACTCTATTTCAGAACCATTGCGTGTTAGTGTCAAGTCTCCATCCCACTGGGGCTTCTGTCCAGTGAGAGCTGGTCCTCTGCTTAGCACACGTCCACAGGTGCCCCTGAGGATCACAGCTGCAGTTCAGAAGTGCCAACCAGGCCCAGAGCTCTGGCTTCTTCGGGAGTCAGGCCACTCTTCAGGGTCCTCCGCACTGTCATGGCACCCGCAGATCGCAGCCAAAGACAGAAGAGAAGGAGGTGTTAGGAGTGAGGCAGATGGCAGTAAGTACACCAGTCCCCTTTGCTTCCAGGACCCACAGGGAAGCTGGGGTACCAGGGATGCTCTGTACCACCCTGCTCTTGAGAAAATCTTGGGATTACAGCAGGCTCACCTGAAGATGGTGCTATCCTGGAGAGGGGGGAAAGGATCTAAAAAAGAGGGGAGGAACTCCTTCAGGGTCTCAGAGAAATGGATACCAACTGCAGAAGGACAGTTGGTATGTGGAGACCTCTGCATCTACCCACCATCTGGAATGTAACAGAACTGGGGAAGTAACTGCAGATGGGAAACCAGTGCATAGTGAGGAGTTCAGCAAGCTCTAACAATCCTGGAAATCTGCAGGAAGAGTAGTAATAGCTAGAGAGACGACCAGGAACTCAGGGAGTCAGGTATCACCAGAACCCAGAGTGGGCTGCACATCAGGATGAGTTTCTGTGTTATAGGTGTCTGTCTCTACCAAAAGGCCTTTAGGGACAATGGTTAAAATAAGCAATGACCCTTCATGGAATACACGCCAAGGAGCAAAGTGACAAACTACTTCTGGGTGGATGTTCTCTGTGAAACACAGAAGGTTCAAGAAAGCCAGTGGCTTCACTGTCTTCAATGGGGGTCATCACTGGCATTTGGAGGGAAGTTCATATTCAGTTGAGACACAACTGTCTTGTGTTTAGCTTGGCAATATGAGTTTTTTCTCCATTGTTTGGTATTGCTCAATTTTGATGTCAAAATGAAAGCTGGGGACTGGGGTTGTAGCTCAGTGGTAGAGCACTTGGCTAGCATGCAGAAGGCCCTCAGCACCACAAACAAACAAACGCTGAGTAAGGGTGACTATGGAGACAGCTATCCCTCCCTATACAATTAAATGCTGACTAATTACATTTCCTTTGATTTACAATTTATATTTGGCCTAATCTGTTATTCCTTTGAAGGTCAAATGGAGTTGGGAATATTTATTCTATTTTCAGAAGAGATATGTCAATCCCTGTATCTCAGGGCAGGTCTTTACTCAAACTGTGGGAGAAAGCACAACACTCACAGTGTCCTAGTTCTCCTGCCTGATGTAATTCCTCCTTATCCCCTCCCCAGAAGCCAGTGCCCCATCTCTACCTTCCATCAGGCAACTCCTATAATCTATGCCCCAAATCAGCTCCTGGTCAAAGCTCATTTAGCTTGTAGCAAAGGATCTGAAAGATGCAGGCTCATGGTAGAATGAGGGACTATTGGCTTCTCTCCCAGAATGATTATCAGCACTTTGAAAAGAGGTCAACATTCAGTCTATCAATCAATGTACAGTTTATGGGAAAGCCTATTAGGTACTCAACACTTACGAAAAGGATCAAACTCCCACAGAAAGACTCACAGACATTAAGTATGGATTTTCTGAGAGGCACAGGATCCGTAATGAGGGGTACCCTCAACTGATGCCATTCTACTCTATTTCCAAACCTTGGTTTGGGCCCAGACCTATCCATGTGCAGCTCTTAAAGCTAGCTCACCCTCCCCCATCCCAGCTCCTGGGATTCCAGACTGAGTGTGAAACTCATCCAGATAAAATGTTTGCCTCTAGAGACTTGGCTGGAGGCAGACGGCATTTAACTGAGTAATGGAATTTGTTCTATAGTACAGCAATAAAAACACTAGTTTGTGACAAGCTCTTATGTTCTTAAATACTTTTTAAAGTATCTGTTAAAGCAAAATCATTTTAATACCAGGAAATAAAATAAAATCTCTCATATTTTCAACTAGGAAGGACTGTTAAGACCTCTTCATCAAGATAAAATTGCCTATGCAAGCCCATACAGTACTATCGGGGCAGCTCAAATTTTATTAGCCACAGAAGGTAGCATGGACATGTGAGTAGGGACAGTCACCTCTGTGCATTGAGGTATATACTCTTGGGAATTGACTACAGAAGTCCCCACAGACTGTTAGGTATTTTACCAAAGAAGGTGTTTAAAGAATCTTCTTTAATACTTCTGTCCAAAACATTTTCCCTAATCCCATAACTATAACATTCAGTTCATATAAATACTTAAAAAAGGACCTGGCACTTTACATCCCACGTTACAATCTCCTAATAGGTATAGGTCTTGGGCTGACTATCTGGGACAGCCTCAGAGGACAGAATGAAGCTAAGTGGTACCCATATTGGTGTACAGAGACTATGCTCCCACTCTTGTGGGCGCACTCACAGTTTTGACGCTCCAGTGCTTGGGACCACCTTCCCATGTTCTCTTTCTGTCTGGGTTCAAGTGTTTTCTGCTCTGGGAGAAGCTTAGTTCCCTTTGTTTCCCAGATGTGTCTCTGAAAAGTAAATACACCTAGGAAAATCTGCCCTATTTATGGAACCCTACTTTCTGTGGGGCTTCATGGCAATACCAGTAAGTTCTCTTAGAAAGATATAAATCCTTTAGTGTAATGAGCAAGACCTTGAGACTCTAATGCTTCTCTTAGTTAATTCACTTCACTACCTGAAAGAACATATGATACGAAAGTTACCAACTGAAAGCAGTTTTGTACCCCAACTTGAGTAGCGCACTTAGGTACGAGCCTCTTTGTGCACCTATTTGTCCATCTGCTTGTCGGTGCACTTGTCATTCAGTAAGTGTTCCTGAGCAGCTGATGAGCCAAGTGCTACGGACAGAGGATCCAGGTCAGGGAAGGAGGGACCTGACAGGGATGTGGGGTAAGGAGAAACCTTAGGGCAGAACATGTTGGCTCTCACTCACCGGTTCCAGAAAACAATGAAAGGCTGGGGACCTAAGAGAACAAGGATACTTGCCAGTAGGAGCTGCAGGATATAGACTTACATGATCCAAACTTCTACAGCAGAAACAACCAAGAAACAACAAAGGGGAGTTTTCAAGTGTCAGGCTGAGGTAGGGCTGGCTGAAGGTCTGGTGAGATAACACTGGGGCCCCTCCATTCTCCATTTCCACATCCCACCTGAACAAGCTCCAGCCCTCTGCATGGGATCAGCTCCCCTGCTTGAAGGCTGCTTAAGTGAGAACAGAGTGGAGACATTGTATCCCCATCTGCTTCATGGCTCTTCTATATACAGTGTGGGTCACTTGGCTGGTACTAGCAGGACCCCAGACACTTGGGACAGCTCTCACAATGCCATGGCAAAGCCAGGGGGCTCTAACACAGGGCGC